ACCCTGCCCCAGAGCACCGGGGGGGGGACCCTGCCCCAGAGCACCAGGCGGGGCTCCCCCCACACCGCCCCCTCCCTCCACAGCACTGGGGAGATGGGGGGGGGGACCTCCCTCTATGCTGCCCCTCCCCCAATAGCATCACAGGCAGATCCCCTCCCCCCACCGCACCAGGGTCAGTTTTGGGGGAGACCCTCCCCCACCCCAGCACCGAAACCTCCCCCCAGCCCCGGGGGGGCTCCCCTCCCCCCGGCCGGTTCCCCTCCCCCCGGGCGGGGCCCTGCCGAGCGCGGAGGCCGCAGCCGGCTCCTCACCTGGCCGGGCCGCGGGGGGGGGCCCGCCGGGGGGCGGCGGGTCTCGGAGGCGGGGGGCTGCCGGACCCCGGCCCGCTGGGGGTGACAATATGGCGGCCGGCGCTCCCGGGCAGCAGCGCCGCTGGAGCGGGACGGGAGCGGCAGGGGCCGGGACGGGCCGCCAGAGGGCGCCAGGGCCTCGCACGCGGCCACTTCCGCATCCCGCCGGCCCGCACCATAGAGAGCGGGAGAGAGACGGCGCCGGCCGGGGGCGGCCTGGTACGTCATGGGACCATAGAGCGTTGGGCCTTCTGCGGGCGGGGCACCCCGGGGTCCTACTGGGGACTCAATGCCCCGCCGCCACCGGGTCCTGCTGGTGCTAGGCAGGCGCAGGGCATTGGGTCAACCCTGACTGAGGGGTGCCCCCTACTGAACCCCCTTCCCGCCACTGCTTCCTGGAGCGGGATGGCTCCCTAGTGCTGGGGCATTGGGTCAACCCTGACTGAGGGGGTGCCCCCTACTGAACCCCCTTCCCGCCACTGCTTCCTGGAGCGGGATGGCTCCCTAGTGCTGGGCTGGGGCATTGGGTCAACCCTGACTGAGGGGCTACCCCCTACCAACCCTCTTTTCCCTACTGCTTCCTAAAACAGAAAAGTTCCCTAATGCTGGGCTGGAGCATTGGGGTCAGCCCTGACTGTGGGGGGTGCCCCCTACTGAACCCCCTTCCCGCCACTGCTTCCTGGAGCAGGATGGCTCCCTAGTGCTGAGCTGGGGCATTGGGATCAACCCTGACTGAGGGGGCTGCCCCCTACTGAACCCCCTTCCAGCCACTGCTCCCTGGAGCAGAATACCATTCCTAGTGCTGGGCTGGGGTCAGATCAGCACTGACTCAAACAGAGCATGTTGCCTACTGCTCCCTGAAGTCTGAGGAAGTCACCTGCACAGCTCCCTGATGTCTTAGGAAGCTTCCCCTCCAAGTAATAACCCAGTTTGAAGCTTCTTAGTTTTTGAGATGTTTATGAACGAAAGTGAAATTCCCTTGATATTTTTAAGGCAAATAAAAATGAATCCCAAATCCCATCCCTAGCTAATGCAGACTGAATTTCTCTGGGCAGCATGTATGAAGGGGGTATTGCAGTTACGGTTGAAATCGGGTCCCCACCTCCTCTGGGATCAGAGGTAAATTAAATAGCAGTGGTCCTAGATTTGCAACACTGACTACTAGCAGTAGCTGAATGCTGCTAGAATGGGCCTGGGGAGGAGAAGCCTGTAGCCTGTCATAGGGCCCTGGTGCCCTTCCCACCATGGATCATATCTCAACATGATGTCCCTGATTTTCAGAAGTGCGGAGTAGCTGCAGCTCACATTGACTTCAGCTGGACTTGTAGGTGGTGAAGTCACCTAAAGGAAAAGATGTGTGGGTGGAGGGGACAAAGTAAACAATAGAATTGTGCAAAGGAGAAGAGAAGAACAGACTCCATTGATACGGAACAGAATCCACAGACTTTAAAACATAATGTACTCCATCTACGTTCTCTCAAGCACGGTTCTGTTTTGTAACCAATCAACAGCTAATAACGGCTAGACAGAGGGACATTCAGTGAGGGCTGACATTGATTTACTTTTTTAAAAACACAGTTGGCCAGATTTTTCAGAGGTTCTGAGTTCCCACAGATTCTACTAACTTCATACTTTTGCATGATTCAAAACCAACCATCTGAACACATTGTTAACCTATGTAACCTCAGGAATTTATCATTACCCTTTTCCTTGTTCCCCTTCCCTCCTCTTGTTTATTATGCTCACTTTTTCTGTCTTGTTTCAAGTCAGGATATAAGCGCTTTTGAGCAGGCTCCATCTCTGACTTCCTGTGTGTGTGCAGTGCACCCAGGCCTAGATGGCCCCATTTTAACTGTGATATAGAGCTTTACACAATATAAATAATAATCCTTTATAATCCAACATGGGAATTGGTTTAGAACAGGGGTCAGCAACCTTTCGGAAGTGGTGTGCCGAGTCTTCATTTATTCACTCTAATTTAAGGTTTTGCGTGCCAGTGATACATTTTAACGTTTTTAGAAGGTCTCTTTCTATAAGTCTATAATCTAGAACTAAACTATTGTTGTATGTAAAGTAAATAAGGTTTTTAAAATGTTTAAGAAGCTTCATTTAAAATTAAATTAAAATGCAGAGCCCCCGGGACCGGTGGCCAGCATCCGGGCAGTGTGAGTGCCACTGAAAATCAGCTCATGTGCCGCCTTCGGCACGCATGCCATAGGTTGCCTACCCCTGGTTTAGAATTATGATAACCCCATAAATTAGATCACAACTATAAGAACAACAAGCTCTCCATAAATTCAGTGTGAAACTATGTAAATCTGGGGATAAAAACATATTTTGATATCCTCTTCTCTTGAGTTCAGCGGGGTTCTCCCTTCACTTGGTCATAATCCAACACGAATTCCATAGAGACTAAAATTCCTTCTGAATTCCTAGGAGGGTGGGAGAAAATGAAAATGAGGGAAGTAAATCTTCACAGGTTTGGCAAGAAATGCACAAGTTGAGATGCATCTTTTAGGAAATGGCAGACTGGCATGGACAACACAAATAGACTGGGGCACAAACCATGAGTCAGATTTGACACACCTGATAGTGCTTCAGGGAACTGGGGGAGGAGGGTGCAGACCGAGTGAGCCAAGCCTTGGAGAGACGGGTTTGAGCTGGGACATGCAGGCCAGCGAAGTGGGAGGGGGCAGGAGACTGAAGCTATGCAGGAGGTCTGGGGTCAGGCAGAACAGGGTTGTGAGGGATAAGGGAGAGCTCTGCACTGAGGTATCAGTACTCAACAGGCTTGGCTGGCAGTGCTGCCTTGATTCCCCCAGCACCATTCTTCGAGTGTCAGTGCCGGCTCCTCCATGCTGCTGCCATGATAGCAGTGACAAAGGGAAGCTGAGTGTCTCTGCCCTGAGGCACTGGTGCATGAAGGGCTCCTCACTGCACTACTGCCCCAGTGTGACAAACCAATGCCTCGTTGCAGACGTACTGGCCACCCACCCCATGCTATCTCCACATATCCAAACAACCACTCTCCCCTACTAATCTCCCTGCACTCTTTCATGGTGGTTCTCCCTTCTGGATCCCCACAGAGCCATTTCCCCCATCCCCAGACACCCTATAGTCCCACACACACCTCCCAAGCTGTCCCCCTGGGATCAGGGTGATGACTGGAGTGTGGGGGAATATGGGAAATCTGGGTATGTGGGGGAGGTTGGGGCAGAGGCTAGGGAATACAGATCAGATGGGGGAGCTCAGTGCTTCTGGGCTTACCTACCACTGCTGCCTCAGCTCCCCCTTGCACCAAGACAGCAGCAGCGTGAATAAAGCCCACGTTTTCAAAGGGGTTCACAAATTGACAGACCTTGGGTTTTGGGAGCCCAGCTTGAGATACCATGGACTTAGTTTTCAGAGGCGCTGAGCACCCACCAAATAAGGGAACATTTTTGAAAAGGTAGGTCTAAGGGACTGTCCTCCTGCAGCCAAGAGTCTCCTGGTGCCAAAGAAGTTTACGCTTTGAACCAGAGATGGAGGGGCTTTCCCCTGCAGAGCGAAAGGGCCTCCAGTCGTAGGAAAGATTCCCACACAGGGAGGAGACCCCTAGACTTGGGGCCAGAGTCTTTTCTGGCACTGGACTGCATCCAACAGCAAAACACATCCTAGGATGGGAAATGTAGACTGAATAGCAGGAAATGCAGCCAGGGAGATGTACTCAGCCGTGGAGTAGCTCCCAGGGGGCCGGGCGAGAGCCCCCTCAGGTTAGACCTGAGGTGGGCAAACTACAGCCCGCGGGCCACATCCGGCCCGCGGGACTGTCCTGCCCGGCCCTTGAGCTCCCAGCTGGGGAGGCTAGCCCCCAGCTCCTCCCCTGCTGTCCCCATCCCCTACAGCCACGCTGCCGCGTGGGCAGCACTCTAGGCGGTGGGGCTGCGTGCTGCTGCCGAGCAGAGCGGCAGCGTGTCTAGCTCTGGCCAGGCGGCACGGCTGCCAGACATGCTGTTCTGAGTGGCATGGTAAGGGGGCCGAGGGGTTGGATAAGGGGCAGAGGGTCCTGGGGGGGCAGTCAGGGGACAGGGAGCAGGGGGCGGTTGGATGGGTTGGTGGTTCTGAGGGGGGGAAATGGGAGGGGTCGGATAGGGGGCAGGGGCCAGGCTGTTTGGGGAAGCACAGCCTTCCCTACCCGGCCCACCATACAGTTCTGCAACCCCAATGTGGCCCTCAGGCCAAAACGTTTGCCCACCCCTGAGTTAGACATTTAAAACTAGAACGGAAATAGCAGTCGAAAATGTACAATCGGGGACAGTACAGTTGTGCTCTGTCTCTGGGGATGGGCAGGGACCTAGTAGGACTTTTCCATCTCTAACGTCCATTAGCCAATGGGAAGCCTCTTTGGGAAGTGACAGTGAGAGAGGAGAGAAGCTGCAAGATTGGTGGGGTGGAAGGCCCCATAGTCCCAGTGTTGCAGGGAGGAGGAGGCAGGGCCGGCTTTAGGAAGTGCGGGGCCCAATTCGAACATTTTCGGCGGGGCCCCAGCAGGGATGACTAAAAAATAAACCTTTAATTTCTTTCCATAACTATATAAATAAAAACAAAATTATATATTACGTACATTGCTGGCTGGAGGCAGGGCAGGGGCTGACTGGAGGTAGGGTCTGGCTGGAGGCAAGGCAAGGGGTGCAGGGCTAGCTGGAGACACGGGCTGGCTGCAGGCAGGGCAGGGGTTGCGGGGCTGGTACGGGCAGGGGGTGCAGCAGGGGC